AGTAACATTTTTGTTATAAAGTAACCTTTGTTTTTATATGATACTTCCTCAAAACCTAGCACATTCAAATGATCATGCCGTACCCTCCCACGCCGACAAGCAAGTCACTTGCTATTTCAATCGGCTCGGCTTTGAACATGAAGTCGGCCCAAAAATATCCACATCGGGCATCGAGACAATATTTTTTTTTAAAAATTAATGAAAAAAGTTAGAAAATTTTGAATTTTAGTCCAAAGAATAAAAATGTGTTGTAAGTGAATAGTATTACGAGTGATTTTTTAGTGTAAAAATATCATTTTCGTTAAAAGTGAACAGTATTAAAAGTGTTTCGTTAAAACTATTTTTTTCCCTCAAATAACTAATTTCATTAAAAATAATAGTATACAAAGAGATACAAGTTAGAAGATAATTTACAATACTAAAGTAAAAGTGCTGCCCAATTCTAAAGTAAAATAAAAAAAAACACTCCAAAAGTGAGTCCATAACAATGCCTAAGTCGAAAGCTCTAGATCTGAAAACGAGACTTCCTCCACCAAAACAGTTGCACAACCATCGCCAAACAGCCATCACCGGGAAGGAGAACCAACGAATCAAAAAAAGGAACAAAAAACAGGGGTGTCCAAGCAACCCGTGCTAAAAACGCTCTCATAATCCTACCAAATACTGCGAATTGTACTTTAGCAGCCGCCCCATTTTTACAATATTTAAGTATTAAAATTATCAACGCACCATTATTAACATTTGACGTTTCGTATAATTTTTAAACAATAATACAAGGAGATATTTTATTTTATTTGCTGGCTGGATGAGAATGGAACTAGCTGGCGTAATTATGATTAAAAGTTTGATTATCATTTGATTAAAAAAATAAAAAGTTCATTTGGATATTTGGAGTGTAAAATCACATTATGCTCTTTTAAATATAGGTTCAATTTTTAATAGTTTCTGTGTCTAGGTTACATGTGAACGGGTTGTTTTCGGTGGGCGAACCGATCAAGGAGTCCAACTTTTCGAAGGAATAGGATTTTTTTCCGATTCTTTTTGTGGACATTCGGAATATCAATTAATTATGTCAATTCATCGTATATCATGTTGTTATAAAATATTTTTTATTTTTAATTTAAAATTGAATATAAATAATAACTAATAAAAACTAGCCACACGATATACGATAAACAGACATGATTGATTGATCTCCATAACTCCACAAAGAGGATCCGGAGAAGATCCTTGTCCCTTTTTGAATAATTCTTATTTTCAATTTCTTAGAGTTATTTTTCACTGTTCATTTTCCCCAACTACTTGGTAGTCCGAAATTATTGAAGAAAAAATACATCTAAACATCCAAATTATCATGTCAAAATTTTAGTGTTCACAACCCACATCGAAATGGTTATGATTTGTGTATGTGCGTAACGAAATTATTTAATTTATTAGTCATTAGTGAATATAATACAAATTAAACATGATTTGTAAACATCTTAATTTGCGCGTGCATGAGATTTTCATCAAATTATGACTCTTAATTTGAGTTTTAATAGTCCTTTTCTTCATAAAACCTTTGTGTTTTGTTTAACAATAACACGACATGTTATTACTTATGTACACCAATCATGTTAATTATTGATTTAGTCAATTGTTCATCATCATACTTATTTTGGTTATTAATTTATGTATTATAATATAAACATATGATGTTTTTATGTCTTTAAATACAATATTACTTGATAAAACACATTTTACAAAACATAGTGGACCATATTCACTACGCGAAGCGTGAAATGAAATGCCACACATAATAATTTTCTTAATGAACTTACATTAGTTGTCAAATTTCCATAATTAAGTATAGTTTAAAACCTTAACTGTAGTTTAAGTTGTAATTGCTTGATTGTCCTGGTGATTAGGGCATATCTCTTTAACATATTACGTTCCGAATTTAAACTTTCCAACTCTTCAATAATGTAAATGTTTTATGTACAGGCAATAAAATATCTATGTTAAAATAAGGGGAGATGAATTTAGACACAAAGCATTGAGCACAAAGATAAATGCTCTTAATCAACTCAACTATGATGTGTAACCAATAAGAAATAAGCACGTTAATCAACACTTAATTAATAATTCAATCATCTACAACCACATCATTTGATTTACAAATTTGATTCCTAACATTACATTTATCCTTATCCTAATAGTGTAAATTAATATAAAAGCTATATCCAAAAAAAAAAAAAAAGAAAAAAAAAAGAGGAAATGCCAAAAGCAAAAGGACAAAATATGCAGAAAGTAAATGATTGGTTAGTATAATGTAAACTAACATTTGCCTGCACACTTTATGTGTATGAACACATTTTTTTAGAAAATGAGAAGCAGAGAGGAAGAGAGAGAACGTGGGGGGAGTAGAAGGTTTTTGTTTTTTAAAATTTTAATATTGGATGTATTTTAACATCACCTGTATGTGAGGTTTCAATAAAAAAAACAGTAAAATTTAGATCTGTGAAATTACATTATTGCCCATCATTTTGTTTTTGTGTGATAGAAGATTAAGTAGTCTTTTCACCATCTTTTGGTTAGCAAAAAGAGTTTCATTAATTAATAGAGATAAATAAAATCCTGATTGGTTGCTAATATGTACTATATTTTTCCTTATAGTTAAAATAAGCAGACACTGACATACATGAGATTAAATTATATTATTCTTTAAGTATAATGTAGACAATTTTAATTTAATTTTTTCAGATATATTTTCAGGCATTGTATACGACTTTTAAGTTTCAGAGGACAAAATAAGATTAAAGTTGAGTTCCAGTGATAAAGTGAAATGAGCTTTATGTTTAAGAAGTAAAGTGACGATTATTAAGTTATATAAAAATAAAGTGAAATTAAAATCGAGTTACAGAAAGCGTAGCTAAAAATAATCTTTAATTTAATCAAGTGAGCCTAATCTAATGTTATACTTTGAGAAAAATGTAGAAAATTGTTAGCACATTTTAATTTAATTTAATTTAAAATTTTCAGATATTATTTTCAGGCATTGAATACGCAGTACAAGTTATTAGGTGAAGTTTGTATTTGTTATTTAAAGTTGAAACCAAAACATTTCGTACACGACACCTCACCTCGACCTGTATCCGATTAGCGGAAGACGGAACATAACGGAATATAACGTTTCTTATGAATATTTGATTCTTGAAGCTAATTAAATTTAATTTTCCTAACTAATATTAACAAACCAATTAATCCATATACTTTGCATGTAGATGTTGTTTAACTACCTACACCCTTCCTCTTCCTAGTGGTCAACATTTGAGAGAGGATCCTTGTCGAATCCTCTTTGTGAAGATCCTAGGGATCTTCCAATCATATTCGTTCATTGTGCATTGTGCGGTCATTTTTCGTAAGGTACTGATGAATGATGATTTCTAAAAGCACAATGTACGATGAACGGATGTGATTTGAGAATCCCTATAATTCTCACAAAAAGAATCCGACAATGATCCTCTCTCGTCAAACCTTTTCTTAATTCTTGGAGTATTCCACTTTCCAATTGCATGTTTTTAGGGTTTTTTTTCTTTTCTTTTTTCTTTTTGTTATTTTTTTTAAGAATGAATTAATATGGTAAATGATTAAATTATATGTTAATAATTTACTTTATAAGAGTAATGAATTTCAAAGTTTGACAATATATGAAGAAATGGAATATTATCATATTAATTGGTAGTTGGGAGTAATTTTAGAACTAATTTAGCGATAGTGTTTGTGTATCGGAAAATGAAATTAAAAAAAACGACGATATATATGATTTGTTATGGCATAAGGTAAGCTCTCATATTCAATTCGGAACTCCAACTCATTGTTTATTTGTAGTAAAGAGATGGCAGAAATTTTAGATGCGGCGACTATTATGTAACTTATGTGATAAGTCCATTATTCAATTACTTTGTAACAAGCTTGCATCCAACTACTATTAAGATTTAAATAAGCTCGATAATTACTTCGTTGGCATGATATTAACAAAATTATACCTCCTCAGCTACTCCTATCCCACTGAGGATTAAGATGAACTCTTTGTTTGAGGTCATGGCATTCTTGCAAGCTAAAATTGTGAGACAATACTCTCAAAATCATCACCCCTTAAATCTTTAGTAGATATGCTATGTTAGCTGAACTTGTTAGATCCCGTAAGGTTTTGGTTCATTTGTTAACAACTTTATAGTGCGAAAATCATGACTTTTTAAGCAATCTCAATCTCATCATTATGCTCGTATCCTGGTCTTATTTCGAGCTTAACTTTTATGGTTCACTCTTTATAAGCCTTGAGCTTTTCAATTCAAAATGTGTATGTAGCACTAGTGAATGCGATAGCACATACAAAAGACACTTATAATGTTCTAGGACAAACTCTCTTTGATAGATTAAAGTTTGTCATTAGCAAGCAGGTTTAGAGACGCTTAAGATTGAAGAGGATTCTAAAATTCTAAATTCATGTTATTAATCTTAGGTTTGAGGTTCCTTGGCGTCTCAATACCTTAATGAAAGATATTCATTGCGCAGTAACTTAAGAGCATAATTTAAATGGAATCCTAGTTTTGTTTCAAACTCTTCTTCCAAATTCGGTGAACCAAACTTTGTAACAGTTGTTGTAACTTGTGTGTACTCAAGAGATTCTTTTTCTCTTGATTACATTAGGGGTATTGTAAATTTCCATTTTCCTAAAATTAAAAAAGAAAAGACAAGAAAATAGAAGCCGAGGTTGCAAGTAGCAAGCCAAGAGTAGTAACCAAGTAACCCGAACAAAACGTGAAAGTGGAAAATGGGTCGGATCACAAACGTCAAAACAAAAGTGAAAGGTAAACACTCAAAACAGGTTCAGAAGAGAAAGAAGAAGGGTCACAGACAGGTGATTTTTGTTTGTCCAATCCAATCCAATCCAGTCCAACACAACTCAACCCCACCCTGGCACTCCCCACCGGTTTTAAAGCCCCTCGTGGTTCGCTCTTTTGAGTTGAGTTTTGTGTCTTCAGTTCAGTTTCCATTTCATGTTCTTCTTTTGATTTTATCCGCAAAACCTCAACACATACACTCTCTCTCCTCTCTCTCTCCTCACACACAAGGAAACCCGCTTCCATTTCTTTCTCTCTCTTGTCTTTGTCTTCTTCTTCCTCCTTCCTCGTCCTTTTTTCTTCTTTTTTATTTCAAATCCTCAAAAGCCAACCAACTCTCTCTCTCTCTGACCTCTCAGATTAAACAAATTCGTAAAACAGCTTTCTTTATGTATTATCTTCCTCCACAGTAACTGACCCACAGGCGGGACGCCTCTCCCTCGCCGGAATTCCCGTCCTTTTCCGGCTACAAGCTCTATTTTTTGGGGGCTGGAAAAAGGATTAGGTAGAAGCAAGCACATAAGAAAAAGGAAGAGAATTTTGGGTTTTTGTTCTCATACTCTCTCTCTCTCTCTCTCTCTCTCTCTCCAATCTTGTGGTGAGTGTGACAACTTGCAATGCTGCAAAAGGAGAAGAGGGTTCAGATGCATAGGTGCTGAGATCCATTGTTGTTTCACAAGTTTCCGTTTTTTTTTTTGTGATAAAGTGATGATCTTTGTCTGAATTTTGGAGCTGAATTTTGGACATGGTGAACAATTGTGCTGGTGAGCCTTCTGTTTTTACTAGGTCAGACCTTGTTCTTTGTTTTTTCAATTTTTGATGTGAATTTTACCATTTTTTGGGGTTATAATTTGCTGTTTAATTTCCTCTAGTCTGTGTAAATTTTGAAACTTAGAGTTCCATTTTATCATTTTTCTTAAAACTTTCAAGGGTTAAACTCCAACTGCTTTCATGTTCTTCCTGATCTTTTGCTCTTTGCCTTTTCACTATTTTTTCAAGGGTTTAAACTTCAATTTTGATGTATTTTAGGTTGTTGAGGAACTTAGGAAAACATAATTATTAAGTTTTAATTTTGTTTTCCTATCTTTTTCTCTGCAATCAAATGGGGTTATTGTGTTTGGTTGTTGGTAGGTAAGCAAACATTTTCACTTTCTTACTATTTTCCCCATTTCCTTCATCTCTCTGAGGTTGTAAGGAAAGAAAAAACATCTTAAGTTCTTCCAAATTTTAGACCCTAATGAGTAAATTTTCATGCTTTGTGTAATTTGATCTCGGTTTTCTTTGAATTCCTAAATGCCATTCTCAATTTCGCTTTAGAAATTTATGGTTAGGTAATAATCTGAGGATAATCTTAGTTTTTAAATTATTGTTAATTTTCAGGTAAGGAGTCATGTAACGTAGACAAATTCGGCAGTTGAGAAAGCTCAAAATTTACTATATTCTTCGGTTTTGTTTGGTAATATTCTCTGGTTTCGGAGTGCTGCACGATGCCATTTGAAATAATGGATCAAAGGGGTGTATCTGTCTCTTCTCACTTCTTTGAAGAAATCCCTTTTCCTTCTGAGGTAATTCTTTGTCTTGCTACCATGAAAGTTGTTCCATTAGTAATTCGTGAAGTTTTCACATTGTTTCATTCAACATATCGCACTGGTGTTTATTAGGCATCTTACCCTGTTTAACTCTATCATAAAATTTTGCCTCATTTTTAGCACATCGTACCATTTTGCCATTGTCTTAATATATATCACTTTGCCAACTTTGATTCACCAGAGACAAGTCGGATATCAGAAGCTGAAAACCATGCCCGATTACCAAGGTGAGCATCCTGTCAGGAAACTTGCCTGAGAAAGTCTATTAGCTTATTTGTCGTGTCTGGTTATCTTATGTTTTCGGTGGTTATCTGGGTTTAGTTATACCACATTATCTGTTGGAATAATTTCCCAACCAAACAGATGCCCCTAACTTATTAACAACTGCTGTGACGTGTTGTGTGATGCTAAGCTAACCAGTGTCTCTCACTCAATGCTTAGGTTTGAGTTGCCACACGTGTCTACATAGTTAGATCATGCCTGGTAAAGAGGGAATTAACATAAATAGTAGTTGTGATAAAATTAATCCGAAGGTTTTGAAGTATGTTGTCTTCATTTTGGTCAAATGGATGACAACTGGCTGCTCGAAATCCCAACTTCAAAACAGAAGTTCTTACTGCTTTACAAAGTAATTGGTTTAACGCTCTAAACTTGAAAGTCTTTTGATTGAAAGCAAATAAATGTGCCATGGATCACGAAGTGGTTCTTTTCTGGTACCGTGTCTGCCAGAAGTTCTGAATGCCATAACTTGTTTTATTGAAATTGTATTTTTGTTGATTTCAGACTATAACCTTGATCCATTGTCATACTTTGAATTTGAATTACTCTATTTTACGGTAAGAATCATAACTTTTCCTAATCTCCTGTGTAAATATTGTCCTTCAGCGGGAGTCAGTGGAATGGTACCGACACCTGGCAGCACGTTGGGTTCTTCAATGCCATCAAAAATGTATTTACCAAACGGGGCACCGTCGGTGGATTACTTGGATCCCCCACAATCCAATCTGGCTGGGGAGCAAACAGAAAGGCTAAGCGTTGTTGAAGGAATTCCCAACATCTCCAAGGCCTCATGGAAACCTATGGATCACCAACCAAAATTGTGGTCAGACTTGTCCGCAAAGCCAACACCTTATAGCTCGGTTGGCGGCAAAACTCTCATTCCTGGTGCCCAGCATGAAAGTAGTCTGTTCTCAAGCTCTTTGTCCGAAACTTTTAGCAAAAAGTGTAAGTTTTCCTTCTGAAGTCTATTAAATGCTTGTCCATATGTTTCATGAGGTTAATGTTACTTTCTGTATTCTCGAATCAGATACTTATGTTGACCATACTCTTTAGTTTTGTCGGTAGATATATCAATCTGCAGTTCTTTCATTCATAAAAAGCATGCAGAAGAAGCTGCAAAATTTAGCTTTCTCACAATAGTTTTTCTTCAATTCTATGTCTAAGAAGTTTCGACATCAAATGTTATTTTGCATAAAGTTTCTGCATTTGAATTATCTGGCTCCAAAATGTTTCTTAAACTTCTTGTCCATGTATAACACATGTTCTAATTTGTTTGCTGCTTCTATTTATGTTAGTCGTCACATTTGCAGTTGTTGGGATAAGTCGTGGTTGAGTTGACTTAAGCTGACTGCTACTTGATTGATGTATTACTCTGCACATTTTTCCACAAATATGCATATTTATTATCTTAACATCTCTTTTTTTTTTTGTTTTTTTTGTTTTTTTTTTCTTTTCCCTTTTTCAATATGCAGTGCGATTACTGAAGAATGATTTTATATCTCATCAGTCTACTGATAACGTTGCCTTCCAACATGAGGAAGAACCCTTTGAATCTCTTGAAGAAATTGAGGCACAAACAATTGGAAATCTCCTTCCAGATGACAATGACTTGTTTTCTGGCATGACAGATGAGCCGGGTTATAAGGCTTATGCTAATATTGGTGATGGATTTGAAGATTTTGATCTCTTTAGCAGCAGCGGTGGCTTGGAAATGGAAGGAGATGATCAAGGGGTTTATAATAGCTCAATTGCGGGTGAACACCCTTATGGCGAACACCCTTCCCGTACACTTTTTGTTCGCAATATTAATAGCAACATTGAAGATTTGGAATTGAAGGCTCTTTTTGAGGTGCTTATACCTCCTTTTCAAGTGTTTTACTTTTTTATTATTTATTCATGTATTTTATTTTAGTTTGAGAGTTCCGTGCAAGCCAGTTAAATTGACAATTGTACTTTGTTCTGTTAGCAATATGGAGATATTCGGGCACTTTACACTGCCTGCAAGCATCGTGGGTTTGTTATGATTTCTTATTATGATATAAGGGCTGCCCAAAATGCACTAAGAGCACTTCAAAGTAAGGCACTGAGGCATAGGAAGCTTGACATACATTATTCGATACCCAAGGTATGATGATCACTTGTTATTCACTTTTGTTGTATCCGCTAGATTCGCGACCTCGTTCTTCTCGTCTTGTTTTATACATTCTCATGTTGCTTTGTTCCATCATGCTTTTATACTTGCCAATATGTCAGGACAATCCTTCTGATAAAGATATTAACCAAGGAACGCTAGTTTTATTCAACCTTGATTCTTCTGTTTCTAGTGATGAGCTTTCTAAAATTTTTGGATCCTATGGAGAAATTAAAGAAGTAAGGCATCCGATTTTCCCCTTTCCTATCTTGCTTTGCTTCTAAGAGAAAGAAAGAACTTTGTATTTTATGTGGTTGTTATTTTTGTTTTCAGATCCGTGAGACTCCACACAAGCCTCATAACAAGTTCATAGAGTTTTATGATGTTAGAGCCGCAGAAGCTGCTCTCCATGCGTTGAATAGGAGTGAGATTGGAGGAAAGCAGATCAAGCTTGAACCGAGCCGTCCAGGGGGCATAAGGAGGGGGTATTGATAAGCTACTCTTACTATTGATTACAATATCTCGTATTCTTATTTAAGTTTGAAATTCTTAATTTTCTCCTTTGTAAGAAAGAACATTCCTTGTGCAGTTTGGCTCAAGTTTCCGAGCGGGACCGGGATGAATTCAAATTTTGTAATGGTTTGTCTGACAATTTATCAACAGGCACCAAGGGTATGAATCTGTTTGTTATGAACTGTTGCATCAATTTGTGTTTATCTTGTTATACAGTGCTTACCTTTCTTTTAATACAGCGACACTTCATCCTGGAATGGTCACATCCAGCTGCATGGTTAATGGATCTAGCCTGGGCTTACATTCTGCTGTCCGTTCACCTGTGAGTGCATTTATTGAAAACGCTTTATCTCATCAGAGTTCAAGTGTTCCAGACGTCTTTCCCACTCCAGCGACATTGGCATCTATAGGGAAAAAGTTTAGCCTTCGTGACACTGAACGGTCTCTGGATGACATGAATTTTGGTAATCAGAGTGCTCCCGGCATACATCCTCATTCGCTTCCTGAGTATAATGACAGTTTAGCCCATGGTATTCCATGCAACACTTCTGGTGCTATTGGAATCATAAATGGCAATCTGGGACTTAGAATGAGAGAAGGAACAGACCGAAGATCCACTGTCAGTGCAAATGGTCACCTAGTGGAACCGAACGGAGGAGGTACTGTTTAACAGAAATATTACTTGTAATGCGGATTTTAACGTAGCATCATTCTGGTGAATTTGTTGTTTACAAGTTGTTTTCTTACACAGCTTTTGGATCTCCTGGAAATGGGAGCTGCCCGGTCCATGCTCATCCCTATCTTTGGAATAACTCCAACTCGTACCAGCAGCATCCTTCAAGTCCTATGATGTGGCAGAATTCACCATCATTTATCAGTGGTCATAGTGCGCATCACTTTCCCCAAATGCCAGGATTCCACGGGACACCACCTCATATGCTGAGTGGTACATCGCCTGTGCACCTCCATGTAGGATCAGCTCCAGCTGTTAACCCTTCCATTTGGGAAAAGCATGCCTTTTCAGGGGAGTCTCCTGACACTTCTAATCTTCACTTGGGTTCTCTTGGCTTTCCACGTTTTGCTGGTAGTCCTCAGATGCATCCTATGGAGATTTCTTCACAAAACCTCTTTTCTCTTACTGGTGGAAATTTCTTGGACATGACTACCAGTACCCGGCAGCGCTCTTCACAGGAGATGGGCCACATGTTTCCTGGTAGGAATTCAATGAGTTCAATGCCTACCTCTTTTGACTCTCAAAACGAACGTGGTGTTAGAAACCTGTCTCACCGAAGAAATGAAGCAAATCCTAACAATGCTGATAAGAGACAATATGAGCTTGATGTTGAACGTATACTCCGTGGGGAAGACAGACGCACCACGTTGATGATCAAGAACATTCCCAACAAGTATGTATATTGTCCCCCAACTGTTCTGATGTATTGCATCTTCTATTTGGTATTTTACACTCATCCACTACAGTACTGTGATAACGATGGATTCTTGAAACTGCATATTTTCGTAAAAATTGCTATCCGGTTGTACATAGGGATTTTGCCATTTTGCTAAACTAATTAACGGTTGTTACAGATATACTTCAAAGATGCTTCTTGCTGCAATTGATGAGCAGTGTCGAGGAATTTATGACTTTCTTTATTTGCCAATCGACTTCAAGGCAAGGAAATTGTTTAGAATATCATCTTTTGTTGGGTATAGAAGTTATAATTTTTCTAATCCAAAATTTGTCTGTTTAACCTCTCACAGAACAAATGCAATGTGGGATATGCGTTCATCAACATGATTGATCCTCATCAGATTGTTCCGTTCTATAAGGTTTGACCGCATGAGAGCTATCCGCTCAATATGAACAAATGCTTTTATATCTGTGATATATTTCTTTGTTTCTGCCTTTTCATAGCCGTACTGAAACTAGATTACACATCTGTTACAGGCATTCAATGGAAAAAAATGGGAGAAGTTTAACAGTGAAAAGGTGGCATCACTTGCGTATGCTCGTATTCAGGGTAAAGCTGCTCTTATTGCCCATTTCCAGAACTCAAGCTTAATGAACGAGGACAAACGCTGCCGTCCCATACTTTTCCACACAGAGGGTCCAAATGCTGGTGATCCGGTAAGATATCGTGAGATGAACAGTCCTCTAATTTCCCTTTTTTATACTACATTAATCTAATTGGTCGTCTTTTTTGAAACTCGTGTCTTTCATTTCCAAAATTCATGGTACGAGGAAAGTTCTAGTTCTGAGAATGTTTGCCCCAGTTAAGTGACAATTTCTGTGTGCAAGGGGATGGAATGTCTTGAGTTATCTTAAATTGGGTTTTCAGTTAATAGGATCCCAAGACTGACCTATTTTTTCCTCTCTCAACAGGAACCCTTCCCCATGGGTACCAACATCAGATCAAGACCAGGAAAACCTCGAACAGCCGGCTACGATGATAACCATAATCACGGGAGCCCTTCAGCAACTGTAAACGGAGAGGAAAATTCCAAGGAATCCGACCGAGACTTGTTCTACCAAGATTTCTAACCATTCAACCTATTGCCGGCTTACTACGAGTATAACCACTCCAATTCTCTACAGCAGGGGTGGTCTATTGACTTCATTTTTTACTATAGAGGAGTGCTTCTACTCAGTTTCGGATTTACCTCAACCGAGAGGGTTACTTCCCAACCGTTTGGTATTTTCTCTGGTATTAAGCCAACTTATGGGCACAGAGAATGTCTTGACGAAGCTTAAAATTTTGGAGTCTTGTTTGTTGAACAATGTCTCAGTGTACAGGCAGGCACTCACAGAACCTTGTGCTAAGGCTTTTTTTTAACCTTGTTTTAACTTTTACCTTTTGCTCATGTGGGACCTTTTTCTGGTTGGCCAATGATGGAGGCACACATGTACTTTTGAGTACCACTCCAGTTGCTGAAATTTTTGAAATTCTAATCTTGCTTTGATGCTATGTGAGTGTGTTCTCTTGCAGTCTTTCTTGTTGAATGTTTTGTATTTTGGTACTTTTTTTTTGGAACCCCGGAGGGAAAAGTTTCCTACTCCTTGGATAATCCTCTTTTAGGAACCACTGCCTTTGGCGTTGGGGTTGGCATCAATCCTTCTTGATCTCTCCCTCTTTTTTCCCTCTTTGTTTCTCGTTGCAGTCGCTCTATCAGTGTGTCGAGTATAGCCTTCAGTTTCTGGTTGTGATAGCTCTCTCACTTTGCCGATGCGAAAGCGATGTGAGCTTTCATTATTGTGGCCATGGAGCGGTTTGTTTTATCTCAAACTTTGGGGCGGCGACTATTGTTTAGACCTGAGGTGCTGGTGTTTGTAGTTTGTGCGCTTGTCAAAGAACTATGAGAAGGAAACTTGACATTTGGTTGGGGGGACTCATAGCAAGGCTTCTTTGCCAACGATTGCAAATCATTAGAAATAGGTGTGGTCTTTTCCTCGTGGAGCCTCAACGATAGTTCAATGTTTTAGTGCTCATGACTATGGTTTAGGGTCTATAAAAATTGGATCTATTTCAAATTTTTTTTTTTTTTTAAATATGTTTGTAATTGTAGGGTTGTGATGTTCTTTTTGACACATGTAGTCTCTTCAAGTGTTCTAAGAGGCACATTTATCTAATTATTATTTTTTTATATAAAAAGAGGACATATTAAAAAGAGAAAATGTTTAACATATCTATCGTAAGTACATTTTTTTTTAGAACAAACAATATTACTTACACTAAGTGCGTGGGTAAGTGACTAAGGCTCACAATGAGCTATCAATAATGTGATTCAAATTTGCATTTGCCGAGAATTGAACCTAAAACCTCTCACTTACAAGTGAAGAGAAATACTACTAAACCGTAATACGAAGTAGCATCATATGTATGTTTTTAACTATTCTTAAAAAATTACCGTAAAATATAACAATGCGACATGTTATTAGCACTCTGAAATCATCAATTACTCTTTAGCATTTGTCATGCTTTTATTATTTCATTAAATTACCAATCAACATAAATAAAAATACCAGTCAAGATCATTAAGAAAATCCCAATAAAGTTCATTAATAAAATATAAATCATTTTCTTTTTGTTTCCATAAAATAGATCATCCACCATGTAACACTTTGTAGTTTTAATTGAAAGTCATTAAAAATAAGGATTAAGTTCGAATAGCTACTTAATTTTTAGAGGTAATTTCAAATTGATCATAACTTTTTAAAATATTTTAAATAACTATCTAATGACTTGAAAAATGAAAATTTATTAGATACACTAGCTTTAAGTGACGATGCAGACAATTATTAAAGCGGGGTTTTATTCTCACGTTGTCTACGAAGCTTTGGATTTCTAAATCAACACAATTAGGCAAAGCACGTTGACGGCTTAACTTGGTTGAAAAGAGTCGATTTGAGAATTAGAGCTCCAAAGACGAGCATTAGTAAAGATCAAATTTAATTATTTGTCTACCTCATCATTTAATGCTAAAAATATCATCACTTAATATTGATAAAGTCATTACTTAACGCCGTTGAACTAACAAATATTTAATTTTTTGAACGTTAAGTAGTTATTCAAAATGCTTTACAAATTTGAGACTAATTTGAAGTAACCCCTAAAATATTGGGTAGTTATCCTACTTAACTTAGAAAATAAAAATAAATTTAGATTTTTGAATATTAAATTATATTTGATTATTTAAAATTAAATTTTTAGTGAAAAATGAAGAAAGTTCAAAATTTGTTTGGGTTTTCCTACTGCTCCAAAATATTTGATTGCAGCAGACAAAGAAATATTGAACAACTGCTCTGAAGAAGCCCAAGACAGAGGAGGTGGAAAACACAGACGACGACGGCGGTGGCGGCAAACAAGCCGCAAGCAAGACGAATATGGCGGAAGAGGAGAACGGCTATCCAGATAGCAGGCAAGAGCAAGAAGAAGCCCTCGTCGCTCTGATCGAGCATCGCACCCGGGAAGTCCACCATCTCCGCCAGCGCGTCAACTATTACAAAACTCAGGTTGCACCCCACCATCCCCCTCTCTCCCTCCCTCCCTCCCTCTCTCTCTGGTTATTTCGATGGTGACATATTGGGGTTTTTAGAAATGTTGGTTTTCTTGTTTGTTTGTATTCATTTGGTATGCTTCTGCTGCTGCTATACTGTTATAAACTTTGAATTATGGGTTTTCAGTGTTTTGATTAACCTGCTGCTGCAATGCTTTTTAAGCTTGAAAGTTTTAATCTTTTTGCTAATCCCAAATTAGCGGTTTACAAAGTTTAATTAGGACTGCTTTTTGATTAATTAAATGTATTGGTTTTATGCCCTAGGCTAATATCATGGCAAATGCACACCTGGGTTTGATCACAGCACAAGAAATCTTTTTAGGGTTCTTGGGATGAAGTTAGAAATAAAAAACTCTTTGATTTTGAGTCTGATCATAGATTTTGAGTCTGATCATAAACACTGCTATTTATGACTTTGCTTTAGTGTATGGAGTCGCCTTGATGGCCATTGATTAGCCGAATGGCCTTGTTTAAACTCATTGTATATGAAGTTAATTGCTGCAAATTCAAATCTCCAAGGGAAGACAATATACCATTTTCTTAGGGGTAATGCTAGGGAGACCAAATTTCTAACCCAAATTTTGTAAGCCAAATGATGTGGACATTGACGATTGGATTATTACAAGTGTTGATTAACGTGCTTATTTCTTTTTGGTGACACATCATTTGGTTTAAAAATTTGGTCTCCCTAGCATTAACCTTTTCTTAGATATGCCCGAAATTACGTGTGTTTCTATGTGTTTTTAACTTATGAGATGCCTTCCAAAGGGAATTATCCACTAATTATTTATTTGGAAAAGGCGTGCAGCTTGGAGAAACGGAGAAGAGGTTAACTGATACCGAAATTAAGTTGGCTCGACTTCGACGCCAAGACAAAGTAGGGTCAACGAGGAGTTCTCCGGGTGGTGGAACGAAAAGTGCAAAGGTGGAGCGCAGATCAACAAGTCCTATACATTTAAATGAAGGTTCTTCTAGACACCAGCATCAATCAAAAACGGAACTTTTCATTCCTGCAGTCGGCCCAAAAGTTTCCCATCCTACAATGGTGGCAGGGTCTAGTGGGAAAAATCCAGTTAATTATAGTGCTCAAGCAAGTCCATCAGTTTCTTGTCAGTCTATGAGTGCTAACAGAACGAAAGGTGACAAATCGTATAGAAATTCTTCAAAGCAGGACGTTGAAGTTCAAGATAATGGGAAAAAACGGAAATTTGGTAAGACTCTAGCATGTTGACTGGCCTCGTTGTTCATATTGTGTTTCTTGACTGTCTGTTTCTAGGCCACATATTTCAGCTTTTCTTTGTGTGTGATGCTAAAATTGTATGTACTTCAGAACAGAAAGAACACAAAGAATTAGTCCCGTTGGTTCGCACTAGCTCTCAACCATGTAAAATCAACTGCTATGCAAGCAGTCACATCTCAAGTCAGCACAAGAGAAAGTTGAGAAGTCTTTCTTTGTGTCCAGTGAATGATCAGCTTTTTGTGACCAGGTAATTAACATGTTTGCTGTCCAAGGAAGAAGGATATGTTCTTTATCATAATAGTAACATTTTTTTACTTGTCATCAATATCCATGATTTCTGTTGTGTTTATTTCACTCTTTCAGGATTTCACCTTTGAATTTGTGGGGTCCATATATTATATGGTTATATCCTCGGGTTATAAGATTAACCCGTGTTTTCTTGTTTCCACATCTTTTGGTTAATAGTTGTCTTTGGGGTAGAAATGGCTTCTAGCTTTAAATCTGTAACTTATATATCAAATTCTCAAATTATCAGGTATCTTTAACCCTTTCAGGTAGTTGTACATATTAATGTGTATTAAATTATAGATTACAGATTATGGTCCTGCTTCGGATTATGTATATGTCTTTCTTTTTCATAAGCTGGTAGTATTCTCTTGTACTCTGTTAATTGAAATTGAATCCTCATCGTGATATTTTATGTTATTAAGAAAAATAATGGTAAAAGAATTTGTGTAAGCAGCCCAACAAGAGGCAACAACGTAAATTTACACTTAGAATTTAAGTTTAAAAGAAAGCTTGAAGTATATTGCTTACTGTGTCCTACAATTGGTAACTACAAGATGCATCAAATGCTAGCAAACCTGATCAATTTTAACAAGTGCTTTGGAACGTTTGCAGTGCTTTGGATGGAGTAGTCAATTTCTGGCAAGTTCAGTCCAAGGGGTAAAGTTCAAATTCATCATGTTACATTATTATTTCTTAACTTCACAATTGTGTTGTCGGTAGCAATATAAAGTGGATTGAAATGAGCATAAGGTCATATTGTCGAGCTTTCTCCTTTTATTATTATTATAATAATATATTTAGGAAAAGCATGTATTTGAGCTTATAGTTATATGATTACATGCCTTTGATAGAGATGTATTCTGACTGATGGACTGTATTTCCTAAATTGACTGAGGAGGTGCAGTATCTCCGTGTTTCAAAACCGGTGTTGGTATCTATGTGGCTGTTATTCCTTGGTCTGTTTAGAAAGGCAGACCTGTGATTATGTTTTCTTGTCATGACCGCTGGATTTGTAAATTCTTGCGTTTCAATTTTTCATCTCATGTCTTAAATATTAGTTGCTTAGCCACTTTTGCAGTGCTCTTAAATTTGCAGGCATGCACTTCTACTTTGCACAACTGATCGGTCATCCCTTTTGTTTCTTTTAATTGCAGGTCTAGTGCTTCTCGACTTAGTTCTACTGATTGTGCATCTCCAAACAGGAGATGGCCAGAAGATATAGCCTGGCACCCTGATGGAAACAGACTATTTTCTGTTTATAGTGCTGATGGTGGCGACTCGCAAGTATCAGTCCTAGATTTAAATATAACACAAGGGGTAAGGGCCACCTTTAAAATTAATTGCTCCAATTGTGTGTGGGGTACACTGAGCCCTGAGCAGCATGCCCTCAGCCCATGAGTTTCCCAAATTTAGAGAATTGACATGCCGATTCTTGGCTTTTTGTGCATTGACAGAAAGGTCGTGTTACTTTCATCAAAGATAAACCTCATGTGAGAGGGATCATTAACAACATAGTTTTCCCACCCTGGGAGGATACCTGTTTTGTCACTGGTGGTAGTGATCATGCTGTTATAATCTGGAAAGAGGCTGATGCAGAGAATGTATGGAAACCAAAGACACTGCATAGGAATATGCACTCATCTGCTGTTATGGGAGTTGCCGGGATGTTCCAAAAGCAGATAATACTATCAGCCGGAGCAGACAAGAGAATTGTTGGGTTTGACGCTAACACAGGAAGAGCAGAGTTTAAACATCAGATAGAAAGTAAATGCATGAGTGTCTTGCCAAATCCTTGCGACTTCAATATCTTCATGGTTCAATCAGGGTGAGAAGCACTGATTTTTCATCTAGAATTTTCATATCATCAACTCGTGTGCTGTCTTGATATTCGCCTTGTCAGTGCTCCTAGAACTGAATGCCGTTTTGTTCACCTCATGCATTTGCATGCTGCATCATATTATTTGTTAAGATGCCTCAAGGTTTTTGACATGTATATGAGTGTGCATTTTGGACGAAGGGCTTTTCTTCAGCTACGATTTCTATGTATTCTTTTACGAGCTTGAAGTTTTAACGTTTAACCTGTTTTATAACACGCAGGACCCATGAGAAGCAGCTCCGACTATTTGATATCAGACTGAGGCAAACAGAGATACATGCTTTTGGGTGGAAGCAAGAGAGCAGTGAATCTCAGTCAGCTCTGATCAATCAGGCGTGGTCTCCTGATGGCTTATACATCTCATCTGGTACAGCAGATCCATTGATCCACATATTCGATATCAGATACAACGCCAACAAGCCTTCTCAATCTATAAGCGCTCATCAGAAACGGGTTTTCAAAGCTGTATGGCTCCACTCATGCCCCCTTCTCATTTCCATATCTTCTGATTTGAACATTGGTTTACACAAAACCACGTAGATGGTTATAAAACGTTCCAGCTGACAGATACTACGAGCCCGGAAGTGAAATTCCCTATCTTGTTCTCTGTTCTCATTTTACGTCGGTGCTCAAAGATCTATTACTTGTTTTCAAGAGTAACAACTTTCATAGTACATTTTTGTAAGAGTCGAGCGTAGGCATGCTGTCGAGATGTCGGAGAATTGTACGTAGTTTTTTCGACGGGATGGTGCTGATAAGTGGATTAGAGTATATTTTAGATGCAAATTTCTTTGAGGAAATGGAGGACATGATGCTAAGTGTATTTTTAAGTACGCAACGGCCGCCTTCATTTTTGATGTGCTTCTGTGGAAATCAAACGCTAACCTTCATCTCATACACGACATGTCGTTTTACAGAATTGGGCTCATGGACCGGATGATAGATAATTGGGCAGTCCAAAGTTTGCATAATTTGAAATGGGCCCTCAGTTAAAATTTTAGAAACACTTTCTTTATTCGAGCTGATTTGTCGATTGTATTAAAAAAAACATTAGCGGGGCACGATTTAAACTTGAGTGGAATAGATCAGACACTATTTTGGTTAACTTGACAAAATTCATGCTTGTATGAATACCATTATTGCTACACATGTACGTTTTAAATTCTCTTAAAATTTTCTCATAACTCCATCATCAAAGTTCTAAGTATTTACTAATTAAATTTGTGTTTAACATTTTTTATGACGTTGATCCTCTGAACATTGGTCATGCGCATTACACGTGATGAGACGGAAAATTGTGACAAATTGATATTTGTGGTACGAATTAAAAAAATGAAAGATAATAAAAATGACTTGAAAACTTTGAGTTTTAACGAAAATAATAAAATAAAGGGTAAAGTGAATAGTACCAGCATTGACTGTTTAGTGTAAAAAATATAGTTTTTCATTAAAATGAACAATACCGAGAATTTTTCGTTAAAGTTTCCATTAAAAAATTCAGTAGGCTCGAGCGAATTTGAAAATTCGACAGAAGAGAACCACAGTTCAAAGATCAAAAGGAACGCAAATTTTTTCTACCCCAAATTATGAAGTATTGCTTCATTATTAAAAGTCAGAAACCTACGGGAAATATCATCATTAAAATTAATTTATTATGTTGTTGTACGTTCTTTTAATCACAAATAATCACCAGGCAGTAGGGTTCAGTGATGTATTTCTTAATGGGTTATTATACAAAATGGTCCTTGAAATTTGCATGATCAATAGAAATGGTCTCTGAGATTGAAAATCAATAAAAACGATCCCTAAGATTGTCCACCATCCATGATTTTGGTTATTCCGTTAAAAACGTTTTCGGGCAATTTTCAAAGTTTTGTAACTCAATCGTTTTTTAATCAAATTCGACCCATAATATATCAAAATGAAGAGGAAAGTGTAGAATAAGATTATACCATTTGGAAGCCCAATGATTGCCGGAGATGGCCGGAAAATAGCCTGAAAGGTGATTGGTCCGCGGGAAAACTGGAAAATTTGCCGAAAACTGGGTAAACTTTAAACGTTCATAACTTTTTCAATACTCAACCAAATCGAGTCATTCAAAAAAAAAAAAAATACTTCTTGACGAGACGAAGAGAATGATACCTTTTTCGAAGGCTTACTCGCTGTGGTTTGGTCGGACAACGGCTCGAAATTGGCTAACCATTTTCGAGTTAGCCACTTTCAAGTAGTTTTCCAGTGAAACCATGGAGAGTTAGAAGTAAAGAAAGATACCATTCTTTTTGTCTTGTTGAAAAGTATGATTTTCGTTTTTGAATTACTTGATTTCGTTAAGTATTGAAGAAGTTATGAACGTTTAAAGTTTACTTAGTTTCCAGAGAGTTTTTCAATTTTCCTGCGGACCAGTCACTTTTCAGACTATTTTCTGGCCATTTTTGGCAATCATTGGGCCTTCAAATAGGTATAATCTTGTTCTAGACTTTCTTATCTTCATTTTGATATATTATGTGTCGAATTTGGTTAAGAATTGATTGAGTTATGAAGCTTTGAAAATTGCCCAAAGAGTTTTTAATGGAAGGACCAAAATCATGGATGGTGGACAATCTCAAAGACAATTTCTATTGATTTTCAATCTCAAAGACCATTTCTATTGATCATGTAAATCTCAGGGACCATTTTGTATAATAACCTTTTCTTTATTTGTAAGTAAAATATTTTAATTCGTTTTCCGTGGATACGAGTTCAATACCAAATCATAGGGAATATATTTGCTCACCGGTCACTATCCTCAAGTGATGGTGATGTTTACCACCATATTTATCACCGTTAGATAAGTTTAAATTTTTAGATTTGATTTTGAGATATATGCAGTGGATAGACACGAATCTCAAAATTTAAAACTCATCCAACAAAGATAAAAGGAATGTAAGCATTATCGCCACTTGAGAGTGTAGAGCAAAAATGCACTGTGGCTCGCACAACTCCTTACTAATAGATTGCAAGAGGAAAAACAAAACAAAATAGATTGCAAGCAAGTATTTTTAGTGGAGATCAACTTACTTGAAACATGTTTACCGTCATGTAATATTTCGATCCTACAATACATATCGCATGTTAAATTTTTTACTCATATCATTGTTTTATTGAACCAAGACGTCATTGTCAATCCATTCTTTGTAGATTCGAGTAATGCTAGAAGACAAAATTTATAGACTAAATTTTGAAAACTAAAGAACATGAAAGTTGATAATTGGTTTATTACTTAAGCGTTGATAAATGTGCTCATTTCTATTAGTGATACATCATTTAATTTGTAAATTTAATCTACAAATTTAATTTCCCTAATATTATCCATTATTTTCAATTCTAGTGACAAAATTTAGTTTTGGTGGGAAGCCCATAATGACACGTAACGTAGGGGTTTCACCTTCTCCCGCCACGCGCAAATTTTCCGACTCCTAAAAATTTCCAATTCTCCAGAGACGCTCCAAGTTTCCTCTCCTTTGCATTTGGTAAGTCCCAATTTTTCATTTTTCTGAGGTTTTTTTTTTTTTGTACGATTTTTGCATTTCTCTGATTTATTTTCAGTGTTTAAATGCTCGTCCAACTGATTTTTTTTTGTTCTTTTTTTTATTCACCTTAAATTTTAGCATTTTTTAGTGACTTTTGTACTGAGTTGGTGAATTCCTGTGTCGAATTGAGTTAAATTGGAAATAAAGTTTTGGGTTGATGTTGTTCTGAGCTGTCATTAACATTGATGCATTTGTTGAAATGGGTTTTTGAGTGTTACCTGGTAACTTTTATTTTTATTTTTTATATAATTTATATTTATTTTGTAGAAAAGGGAAAATGTAGGTCAAGAAATTGGGTTGGAGATATTTCACATCATGATTTTGTTGGATTTGGGTGATTGGTTGAAGGGAAGATGCAAGCAAAGCTTTCATAAAACCATAACAAGATATTTCTTGTAGTGCAATCTAGGGTGAAATGTGACACTTTTTAGTACTCTAGATGTAGATATCTGAAACCACAATAGCCAGGGTTTACTTTTGAGATGGGATTCCCTTCCTATCCCCAAGCGGATTCATACGAGGCGATGTGAGGAAAATTGGGTTGGAAGTTGTTTAGAGAGCTGTGAAATAGTGGTAGAGTTGTTGATTTGCAATTATTATGCCAATTTAGTTTTTCCCTCCAACACCGATTCAAGGACTTGTAGGAGTTTGTTATGAATTTCGCTAATTTAGTTTCAGATTTTTTACATCTGTTTCTTGTTCTAGTTTTGAAATCGTTAATGGAATATTGCTTTCTTTGGCATTGCCGAAATGGTGGTTTGCTACTTTCCTATTAGTCCTCAACATGACTGAGAGAAGATATGACGGATCTGAAAACAAGGGGCCCGTTGTAGACTACACAAGTGCCAAGTATTACCCTGCTCCTGCCCCTTCAAATTATGCGTATGACCATGTTTCTGCTTCTGCTTGTGCTAACGAGGATCATGGGGTGCATAAGGACCCTCTGGGTCTGGAAGACTTTTCCGGGTATATATTTATGTGCAATGGAAGAACAAAACCGGAATGCTACCTATACTGTGTTTTTGGACTTCCTGCTGGAAGAAGGGAAGTTATAGAGAGGATTTGGCCAGGCACAAAGCTGTTTCTCTTTGATTATGATGTCAAGTTTCTCTATGGGGTGTATGAAGCAACCACTGCTGGAAAGAACGGCTTTTGGTGGAAGCTTTCCCGCACAGGTGAGTTTAGTATTGCTTTTCGTATCATCTCCTACTGCAAAAGGGTCTTTGTTTAAGTTAAATGGGAAGAGAAAATAAGCTTTCGAACCAAACCACCATTGACATAATAATATGCTTAATGGGTCGTCTTTTAGAATTTCCCGCCTTAATTTATTGTTCAGTAAGAACTAATTCGTATTCACTTGAATTTTGTGTATAGGTAAGATTCAGAATTTACAAGGAATGTCTCCCCTTGCCTGAGAGTGGTTTTAAACATGCTATTCTAGATAACTACCAGAAGGGCTCCAAGAAGTTTAACCCCATTCTCAATTGCCAACAAGTAAGTTTCTTTGGTAATGGAATCAGTTCCATTTCATCCTTCTCGATTGGATTGCCGTCACTTGATCAACCGTACTTATTTTCCAGTTGATTTTATTGTGCAGGTAAGCCATTTGTTATCACTGTTTCATCCTCTTACCACACAATCACCTGTCAAATATGACAATTCCTATATAAAGGATCAATACCCAAGCCTGCCTCCTTCAGGCACTACATATTATAACTCAACGCGTATCAGTCAAGCCCCACAAGTGTTGTTTCCTCAATATGTTCCACAGGCAGTCCTAGTTCAGCAGTGGGATGGTCGTGGATACACAGGAAACATGGGTCTTTTCCATCATGCAGACCAACCTGCTGTGCCAAATGCAGGTTCACAATCAGTAATGCCAACTCAATATACGGAGGAACAGTTTCAGTCCACAGCAACCCTGCCTTCCATGAAGGATCCAAATGCATCTTCGTTATATGGCGGTCTTACTTCACCAATGTTGGACCCTCAGCCTCAGCCTCAGTATATTCAACCGAGTGTCATACACCAACAGCCTGCTAGCTATGGATACATGTCATACACGGGCTACATTTATCCTGCTGTGCAACCACAAGCTGTGCCAGCTCCAAATCAGACATATTATTCTGCACAAGTGGATCACAGTTACTCCGCTGAACTACCTGCCTCACAAGCACCCACATCATATGAAAGGTACCTATCTTTAGGTAGTTTGATTCCCCTGTTGCAACCCAAGGGATGCTCTTTATTTTTTGTTGGTTAATGTACGCCAAAAGTTTGATTATTTTAGATTATTATTATTATTATTTTTTGAAACTTGGAGTTTCCCTGCTCCACCAAGCAAATTGTATCGTTAAATGGGGATGCTAGTCAAAGAGTATTCTTTGAGAAGTTACAGTACATGTTCTTAAAGATACAATTATTTACTAATGCAGGAAAGGTTTGGGTGACTTTCCTTTGAAAGAAACAAAACATATTACGCAATTTGGGAACTGTTATATTTGATTTGTTAAGCGGAGAGTTTCATTGCATGTGATCATGCTTAAAAACAACATCCCGGATATTTGCTCCACTCTCTTTTCAATTTCATAACCTTGTTGTTAGTTCTTAGAACATTTCTTCGTTTTGACTAGTCTTTGTTATTAAACTGAAATTATCATGGTCCTTGTGTTGCAGTTATCACAGGCACGAGGCCACACATGATGAAGTGCCTACTGATCAACAAACGAGCTTGGGATATGGGTACAATCACCTTTGAAGACGGAGACTGGAACAAATTTACAGCAGGGGAATGCTGCCGAATACTACAACCTCTACCAAGTGCCTACAGTCCAGTATGTTTCATCACCTGCACAAACCACACACCTCAACAACATTGGAAGCACCTGAGCTCCCAAGCTACTAACCTAATGTCAAACTGGTTAATTGGACATCTCAAACATGCTGGTAACATGAGCATAGCTTTGCCTGGTTGTTATCACTTCACCTATTTAGTTCAGGTTCTTGGTTTAGAACGATATATCAGTTTGTTATAAATAGTTACTAGGAATGATGCATTAGCATTGTAGCTCGGGTGGTAAAGGCTGCTAATGTACCCTTGCAGAATAGTTGGTCTTGAATCTTTAAGATGCAAAAAACTACATTTAAACGAATGCTTCGTGTTTAAGATGGAAAATGCAACTAGTAGATGATTCGTTCTTCTCGTAATTGCATTACTGCAGGATGATTTGTGGATCAGCTTAGAAGTGATGCTGCAGAATTCAACCCGAAATCGAATTCCCATTCTGGTACTCATTTTACTTGTCTAGCAGATGGATCTCTACTTTTGTTTTGAATTCGTTCGATTGTTGATGAAAACAAAAAAAGCGGATTTCGTATGAGGTCAAAAAATGTTCTCAATATCAGCATTATTTTGTATCATTTCGATTAGCATGTGGGAGGGAGACATCTTTAATCCCTGTTTTCACCAACCGCTATGGTATCGTGCAAGCATGGATCATTTCGAAATGGGGAAATTGACCTTGACCTTGACCTTGACCTATCCATTGTATTTCCACTCTCCAGCCATCTTGTCACGGAGAAAAACTTGTGTAACGGTGCTTCGACCATGTTATACGCACGACTTTTTTTACGGGTTGTATTTATTTTCGTCACACTCGATCTTTCACGATTCATTCAGTATAGATATGTCCTAATCAGACAACTTTACTGAATATCTTCTGCAATGGCAAAATCATCACCTCATGGGGTCCTCAGGTAGACTGAACCAACGAGGAACCATGGTTGGGAAGATGTAGTGGATTCACATGTAGTGTGTGAAATGGGGTCAGATTCAGACAGAGAAGTAGATCATCCACGATCCATGGTCTGGTGGTTGACCCCAATGCTCGTTGACTCCAAGACACTCTTTCTAGCCGGGAGGATTAGGAATGTCATGTCGCCACGCTTTCAGTCCACTCTTTCGTGGAATAACAATTTACATGAAACGAATTTGCTATCGCTATAGTGTTTCAGATCAATTATGCATTATAAAGAAAAACTTATATATACATGACAATGCATTATTGAATTGAGATGCTACATTATGTTAAACTCGTTTCATCTAAGTCATTCTCCCTTCATACTGATCAAATTTTTTCTCACTTTAATCACGTGATCCAACACGAGATGATAAAGTTTCATTATCCACTAATCATATGATCATTTGATGATATAAATCATAGGGAAATTTTATTTAAACCCATGTAACCTATTTCTACACTCAACTTAAATTTTAAATGTTAATTGTATATTTTACCCTATTGCATAATTACTATTAAGTACAAATAAAATTAATAATAAAACTCAAATTTATCAATAAACCCAAACACTATAATTAAACCCTATGATCACTCTTTGTTTATCCTACATTCATTCTGGCTAAAACTCTAATAGCTCTCATAGAGAAACAAATTTTTTTATTGATGGATGGTGATTTTGAAGTTTTGAATCCTCCAACCAAGGTATGACTCAATTTATGAATTTTTTGTTTGTTTGATTTCAATTTTTTAGAGTTTAGAAGATGAATATTTTGAATTTTACATATACATTCTTCAAATTTCATGTACTAAATTAGCATTTACGATTTCACACAAAGAGTAATGTTTATGACATTCAAACACCAGAGACTAACCAAGATGCATCTTGAAATACAATATAATTCAATATAATTTGCAGCCTTTGATATCCTGCAGGTAAGTAAGTCTTGTGTCTACGACATATGTGCTTGTAAATTAATGTGTGTTGCAAATCTTAGGCTGTTGGTGGTTGTCCTGCATTTTTAAGGCTTGGCTGTTGGTTAGACTTGTATAGTGGTACTAGATCGATTGAAATTTCATAAGCAAAATTTGCAATTGATATGCGAGTGTGCATTTTTGAAATTACAGAGATATTATCTTGTCAAACAAATAGTAATGTTTTTGAACAAACCCAATTTGATTACTAGTGCTCCATGCACTTCATGAAGTCTATAGAAAGATTCCTATGAAAAGGTACGGTAGCAGACGTATATGCTCATGAAACAGAGACCATACAAAGAGAGATGGTGATGCATGATTTTTGTCAACATCTACATAAGTGTCAGTCTTGTTGTCAGCCATGGCTGAATTCACACCTCAATTCTCATTGTCCATTTCCAGACGATGTAAAGATAGAGTTATAAATCAAATGGGTGTAAAAATAAATTCACATATTGAATTGGATTTATAGGGGTATATTAGGTAATAAATTTGGGTTTAAAGATATATTAATAGTTTAGTTAAAAATCAAATAAGTGCAAATAATAAGTTAGGTGTAGATATATGTTACATAGGTTTAAATAAAATTTCTCTAAATCATATAATGAGAGAGATAAAAGGCAGCAAAATTTAAAACACAATAAGGCAAATGTCCACCACCTTGGATCATGTGTATCCAACTAAAATTCCAGGATGAAATGGACCAAAAAGGCTTTTGTCACGTCGATGCCATTTTTTAATTTTTGTTTGTTGTTTTGGATAGTCGTATGGTCCGATTCTCATATAAGAATATATGATTGGTTAGAACACTGTTACAATGTTATTTATTTTACAGAGACGATCTTATCAACTTTTGATGCCCTAAGTTTAGCATTGTAATAGTCTTTTTCTATTAGTGGGGTGCACCGTAGACATTGAATATATTCTCTTACCAAGATTGAGTTTCAGTAGCATTATTGTTCAATAAATATTTGTCACGTATTTAAAAATGTACCATTAATAATTGGGACGTGATCAATTAAAAACATAAGAGAATCTCACACGTCACATATTCACAGTAATGGACAACGGGGATTATTATGTTGTGCTTTTTGTACAAAGAGCATCTCCAAGAAATTCCACAAAACTAAAGTTGAAGTGCCACATAGGATTTTTTGTGCTTTAACAAAGTTATCAAATAAGTCTTCAAATTTAGAAGAGAATTGTTATTAACACTCTAAAAATCTCATTTGGCACTCCACACTTTCTATAATTAGAAAGAAAAATACATTTGTAAGGAGTGTAGAATGAGATTTTTGGAGTGTTAATAACATTTCCCATTTAGAAAATGTCATACACTATATTTAGAGACTCCCTATCTCACTCTTCAAACATTATTTTTATTATAAGAATGTCTTTGTCAACTGTTTTTTTTTTTTTTTTCCAAAGATGAAAGTAATAAAAAAGTACTAAGATTTGCGGAGTCTACTGAAGGAATCAACAAATTATAATTTTCAAATTATCATGTGAGTAAACAAATTATATTTGAAGAGTCACATTTAAAGAAACTGTTGGAGATGCTTTAAAGATATTAACTTAGAGCATTTCCAACAGCTCCTCTAAATATGACTTTTCGCATACAAGTTTGTGGGCTTACGTGACAATTTGAAAGACCAAAAATTGTTTTAGCAATCAGCAGACCTCCAATTAAACCAGCTATGCATGCCAGCATCCCCCTTTCACTTTTGCTGGCCATGTCTACTTGGTGTCTCTGCCTTTTCTTTTTCTTCTTGTTTAATAAAAACAAAAAATTATTGACTTTAATTAATGTAATCATTTAATTAGTTTTGCTTATTGAATCATTATTCCTCGTCTATATGTATCATTATTCGTAGTGTGTACTTAAAGAGACAAAGCCGCCATTATATACAATCTTTAAATTTCATGATTACACCTATTTTATATTTGCATTAAAACTAAACCCATTTTAAACGCCAACTTTCGCAGTTCAATTCAAAATTCGAAAGCAAATTAATAATCTAAATTTTAAGAGCTTGTGCAATATTTGCACATGTAACCTGCCTTGCTAGATTAGATCCGAGAGAATAAACTTAAATACAACATGTCACGTGAAGAGAGATAAATAAAAGGATATATACATTAAATTTTGAGTAACGTTATAATTCTGTATCCAATAAACAATAGTCAATACATGAATTATGATTGTTCGTGTTAGCTAATATCAATATAATTAGTTTGTATTAATCTATCCTACAAGTGGCAAACATCACATGTGATGGATTCGGATATCCAGTCGTATGCTCGGACATTTTTCAAAAATCTCAACGGCGAAGGTTTTGTTTATTTATTTATTTGGTTTAAATGGAAATATAGTTTTATTATTGTAAATTTAATATATTGACTCTGTATTTTCCAAGTCCGTCCCAACTCCCAACAAGAAAAACAGAAAAGAAAAATAATGAAAAGTTGGCATACCATTACCAGCCAGAAAAAAACTTCTCCGTGATTTCTAACTTTTTTCAGTTTTTGTGTTGTCTCTAGGTCAAATTTGTCGGAAATAATTTTCGCACTCTATTTTTCTGTACTTAAAGCAAAGGTGAATAAGATAACATAGACAAGAGGAGGAATACACATTAAAGAATAAGAAAACAAAAGTGTAAAAAAAATCACCAACATGCAAATAATTGCAGATTAGGTCGTAGTTCATGAGTGCTATGATTTTCTTAATACTTGAATGAGTCTTAAGTTTGAATTCCTCACTATCAAATTATAAATGAATCGTTGATAATTTGTAGCAATAATGTAATAAGTCGTATATGAACAAGATGTACTTAATTCACTACGTAATCTCGGAATTGAAATATGTGCCGAAGTTAGAAAAAAAAATCTTTCATGACACACCGTTCGGTTCGGAATTTTGAATTTCTTCTGTCATGGTAAAAGTACGTGACATTCATGCAAGCTCACAATTATAATTTATTCATACATGTAAATATAAGACACAATGGTAAACTCCAAGGAGAAAATTATAGCAATAGTCCTTGAATTTTTGCCCAATTGAAGTTTTGGTATGTGAACTAAAAATTCATGAGTATTGCTATCTTAACTTGTTTTAATGTGGAGCAATGATCGTTTTGACTAACTCCGTTAAAACTTCAATTTATTTATTTTTCCTTTTAAATTCTTCCTTTTGAATGAAAGTTTTAACGGAGTTGGTAAAAAGAGTTATAAAATCCCACATCGACCAACAGAGAGGGGTGATGTGCTTTATATGCACTTGCCCACCTTCATATAACACGAGGCCTTTTGGGAACTCACTGGCTTCAAGTTCCATCGGAACTCCAAAGTTAAGCGAGATTGGGCTGGAGCAATCCTAGGATGGGTGATCCATTGGGAAGTTGCTCGTGAGTTTCCAGAAACAAAACCGTGAGG